AAAGAAGGTAGGACCCACAGTCCAAGAAACTGGTCACATAACACAGATAAGATAAAGTAATGAAACAAAAAATGTTAACAGCTGCGTATATTATAATTATGATATTTTTAATAATATTATTTAATAGCATATTATTATTATTATTGTTATTGGATGGTGTGGCACTGGTACCGTTTGGATAAATAACTTTTTGCCCCTCGTTTTTTATCCACCACATAATCTATCCAATTTTGCAACCATTCATTTCTTCATTTAATTTCAAAATATATTTAAACTTTATTATATATGTAAAATGTATTGTCAATATCTAATAGATAGATTCTTTTGCTTTTTCATAGGCGAAATAGTTTAAGATAAAGAATTAGTTATCTCAAAATTTAATTACGTAGCTTTTAAAACACTTGTTTATTGATCATCATTGGAATCTCCAATCCTGCGGGTAAAAACGCAGATGCATGTGGTGGCTGTTTCTTGAATATAATGTAAGATTTCGATTGAATCCTGACACAATTACAGAGAACAAATAAATATCTTAAACAAGAATCAAAATAGCGTGTTCTCTTAAGTGAATTTCCATAACTGTTTTTAAAAGATTATAATGATTTTTACATTAAGATATGTCCTTAAGACATAATTAAGGAATTAAATAAACTTTTTAACACTCACCTTAATTACTCAATTAAATAACTAATAATATTAAGAAATTTACGATAACTATAATGATAGTTTTTCGTTTTTCAATGTAGTTTATCGCAGGGATAAATCAAAATTTGAAAATTAATTTATAGGTTTTGTATAACACGTGCTAATTAAGCGTCTCAGAGTATTGAGTTCAACTATTAATATTTGGAAGATTTGTTTTAATATTTAATTATAATAATTTTATCTTACAATTAGAAAACTTTTCCCGTGCGTTGAAGTTGAAACCAATGCACGTGTTATTTATGTTTCATAATACTCAACACATGTAATTTTTTTTTTTTTAATTTACTTATTTTACTATTTTTCTTATCGTACAGTGAAACTTGTGAAATAAAAAAAAATATTATTGTTATCCTTTACACCTTGTGTATCAACTTGCAATTTCTACTTAATATTTTTACTAAAAAAAGAAAATAAAGAGGTATAATAGTTCAGTGTACAGTTATCCAGAATAGTTGAAAAACATTACACATCAGAAGTCATAATTACATTAATGTTTTACGCATAATTATATTATAAAATAACTCCTCCAAATTTAAGAGGTCTCTATTCCATTTTTCAAATTATACCTGCAAAAGATTTGAAATCTGCTTATGTGTATAACAGATCATAGCAGGATCTCAAAAAATCAAACACACAACAAAAATAAGGGTAAACTATCATTTGATTAAACATGTAAAACAATGTAACATTGTAAAACCCATCGGAGAGTCTAACATTTTATAATCATAGCACACAACAAAACTGACGTTTTCCCAAAAATTATATGGAATTTAGACCAGTAAGGCAGACACCTGATGAGGAATATTTGGGATCCCAGACTCTTAAAATTTCATGGCCCCAGACCTATAATATCATTTTTCAACCTCTCATCAGAGTAACACACGCATAGGATTGACACTATGTTGTGTCACCATCGACTTCCCACCACAAATGTCTTTGTCTATATGATTAGAAATATCTTGGAAGTCTGGATGCCCTATTATGCCTATCTATAATTCCATACACACTATTCTACATAGTTCATCAAGTATATCATTCAATAACTATCATAGTTTTCCTTTGAGTCTTACAGCCTATATTCTCACATTATCAGGTCTAAGTGCCCTTCACATTTCATTATTAACTCATATTCAACATAGAATAGTCAAAGGATGCAACAAAATATCAATAAACCAACTATGGATGACCTGTTGTCAATGTAATCAATCACAACTGGTCTGATAATCGATTACCAAAGAGAAATTAGATTTCTAATTCCCTCATCAGTAATTGATTACCACATCACTATAATCGATTACGCTCTACAGAGTCAGATTATGCAGATGCAGTATTTCAGCAGAACACAACCAGTATAACTCAGGGTTTATAGAATCAAACCAATATCATGCAGTTCACAATGTCCAGCCCAATATTTAAATTTCTCAACTCCTATGCATTCACAATTCACTTAAAACAATACATCCTTTCTCTTTTAAACCAACACAGACCAACTATACAATTTAGAAATTCAATGATACAAATATATCTATTTCAGCCAATCTATTTCAAAACAGTTTTCACTGCAAGGTTTCCACAAGTGCTCACAATATCACATCACATACAAAACGTATGTATATCACAAACATACTTATTATTCACTTTATCTAATTTTTCATCAATACAATACAATCAGTAAGAAAAATCAGATCTTTTTTTTTTCTAAAATCTTCAATCATAGTTCAATTAAGATGATCATATGGATTCCAAACTCATTCAGCTATTATACTCATTCAACCATATACTCCATTAAATTAGTTTTAAGCATCATCCGACTAGCTTATCAAAACAACATCTATAAAACAACTAAAGTTCATGGTTCATTTCTAATTCTAATATTCCCACTTACTATCAATGCAAGGATTAATAAAACTTAAAGTTTCAGCACAAGTAAAAAATCAAAGAAGTCTTAGAAATACCTAAACACCTAAAATGTACCGTTCTCCCCCAATTTAAAAAACTCTAAAAACGAAATTGAAGCAATAAACTGAATTAACTCTGAAAACATGAAATTGGGGAGTGACAGCGTAAGAGGAAACATTTAATTCTATAATTAATTCTTTAAATTCTCAAAACTCCAAATTTTAACTCGCAAAAACCTTAAAATTCAAACTTACTGAAATGAAATTCTAATCGGTAGGTCTTTTTCTTTTCTCCACCGTGAGTACAACGGTGGTCTCGGATTCTTAATCAGGAAAAAAGAAGGTCTTGATCTACGGGAGAGAAGGTGAAGATGAACTATGGAGAAGGAGAAATTTGTTTTTTTTGAATGGAGAAGAGAAATTGGTTTTCTCTCTTCCTCTTTTATTTTATTTTTTAAACATATTACACTTTGTAATAAAAAATAATGTTTTAATTTTAAAAATTGATTTTCAACCCAAACTATTTTGACAATTATAATGATCTAAAATTCTTGTTGTTCGGAATAGATCTATCCAATTAATAATATCAAAACTGGTCTTTTATAATTTTAAAACTTCTTCTTATTTCTGTATTTTCGGGTCAATTATTATCTTACACATTTTTTTATATAATGGATATGATTTTTAGAAAAGAATTCTCTCGTATTCTTGAAAAAAAAATATTCAGCATTCAACCCACCCAATATAGTGGTAATATGTGGAAGTGAATGATCTAGACACCACATTAATAAAAAAATCTTACTTTTCAATTACTTTAATAGTACAAGTGTAACCAACCATTTAGATCTGCAATAAAAACATATAATAATAATCTACTGTAGATCTCAAAGCAGTAAAAATTGTAAAAACCATTTTATCTTATTAATTTAATCATTAAGTACCATGGGATCTAATGCTATTTCTACCCCCGAAACTAAAATACCAGTGAAATAATTTTTTAGTTCATTTTTCGTGAAATTCTCCGATTATGGTTGCATGTTGTGCCTCTTCTCTCTTTATTCATGTACTTTAATTGGTACTTTCTTCCTTGAGCACTGAACAGAGAAAGTAGACACGTGGAAAATGCTAATGAATCAATAAAATCTAGTCTGTAAAGATGACAATTTTCTTAAATCTCGGTATTATCAGAATTTGTGTTTTGTCAAAGAAAACAAAAATTGAAAATTTCTTTTTTCATAAGTCTGCTTCTTGCTTCCAAAATTAATTAGTGCAGAAAATGTTTATTCAACATATAGATTAAGTATTTTTTTTTAATAACTATTCAATGACTTTATTTTTGTACTCAGTAATTATCTCTACCATTATTATTTTTTTCTCTTTCTTTTTTTCATTCATTTAAAACAGTACAATATTGTGCATATTTTGTATTTAATTTAATTTCACTTTTAATAATTCAGACATCATGTGTTAAATGATTTATCTTAATATCACAAAAGCATTACTAATCCTTACATTAATTTCAACTCAAATTCTTAAATACGTGTATCAGGACACGGTTTATTTATTCTAATCCAGAGACTAGGTCTGCTCATGGTATATATTATGTTATGATTGATCCAACACTTTTTCTTACACAGTCTAATTGAATACGGATTTTCTCTCATAACAACAAAATTTAATAAAAAAGAATAATTGAAACTTAAAGAAATTTAGTTGACTTAATTAAAACATAAAAGAGTAAAATCGTATAATAATTAGTATAATTGAAAAATAAAATAATATATATTGATGACATGATATATTGGTTAATTCAAGGGAGACCTGAGGACTGGAATCCATTTCAAGCAAATAATATTTTTGGTCAATTTTGGTACAATTCTATGTTTTCTATACAATGAGGAAGGTACCAGAAACTGCAATGGAAGGGTCCCTGTGTTGAAAAAAAGTCATGAGTGGAATTCTTTATCTAAAAATTGGTGATGATGACCTATGAACACCAAATTATATATATATATATCATGTACTCAATATAACAATACTTATTTATGTTTTTTTTAGAACAGAAAACATATAAAAAGGCTGTAGGAAAACAGTAATTGGAAAGGCAAGTAATAAGAGAACCATAATAAGTAACTGAACCCACAAGAATTCCCTTAGAATCACAAATCCATTGAAAAAAATTGAAAAAAGAAGGACCACAAAAAGAGATAAACAATGAAGGTAGTAATAATGGACATCACATTGACACACACACTCTACCACCTCTTCGTAGGAAAAGCCAAAACTCCCATCCTTCCTTCTAATCCTGTCCAAGGAAGAGTGAGGCTGACACGTGGCACAATGTTGAGGGCGTGAGGGGTTAAGAATGGGTCTAAAGAGGGTTTTTAGGTAGGGGAGATGACCGGTATAGACGGTAGCATATACCCTTTAACTGGGTGGTCCGGTTGTGTGGTCAAAACCATGGGATATAAAGGGTTTAAGGCCACTGTTGCGTGGTTTTTGTTTACCGTATTGGTGGGTTTTTGTCCCTTAAAACTCTTCTATCTGATCTATCTATTATTCTATCTATTGTTTCGTTCCATCTCACAAAAAAAAAAAAAAATCGAAAATGAAAATGAAAATTTCACGTTCCTGAAAGAGAGAGAAACAGAGAAAGTTGAGGACTTAAATGTTTTCAGTTTCTGAATTCCCCTAGATCTCTTGCATTTCCAAACAGTTTATCCGGGTTTTTGCTTTGCACGCAAGTTGTACTTTTCCCGTCCAAAAATGAGTTCCATCGGAAATTTCGTTACTTGATCGTCGTTTGGTTCCTCGGATCGTTGTTTTTGGAATGTTGTTTTTCCAAGAGGTGAGCTGGTGTGAGAGGTTTTGTTGCATGTCAGAGGTTTTGAATTTCGGATTTTTGTGTTTTTTTTCATGTCATGTTTCTGGGTGCGATCTAATCGCGATTGCGTGGTGGAGATTGTTTATTAACTCTCTCTCTCTCTCTATGTCGTTGAATTTCGCAAATGAAGAGCGGAATTGTGGTGGCTTGTAGGATATTTTGTTCTTACTTCTGAAGATTTGGTTTCTTTTTTGGGGGAAAAAAATTGGGGTGTCGTGGATTTGAGAATTGAAGATCCGATCGTGGAAGTTTTGTTGCGTTTGATGCTTGCAACTGGTTCTTCGTTTGTTTCAATGAAAAATTGATTTTTTTTTTATGTGGGGTGGGGGATGTTGGACTTTCTGTTGGGTGGTTCAGGTTCTTTGATTTGTATACAAGTGCTGCAGATTCTTGGAAATTGTTTGGTTTGTGTTGATCTCGCACAATTAGAGTTCAGCAACTTATTGCAGCGTCTCTTTGCTTTTATGATGACGACGTTGGTTTTTTATGATCCTTTCATGCGTTTATGTTTTTTTTTTTTTTTTTGGACTTTTTGATCATGAATTTATATGCAAATTTCTAATTTGCTGACATCTTGGGAACGATTGTGAAATCGGTAAATCTTTCCTGCAGTTCCTTGGAATTCGTCTGAATCCATGATAGCATTAGGGTTTCGTGTGATCAATTTCCTGTTTCCGTAACTTCCACCATGTGGATTCACCGATTCAACTTTCTTCCCCTTTTATGTATTGTTTACAGTATGTTCTGCTCGATGAAATTGAAGCCAAAAGTCAAATGAATCGTTTCTGGAGTTCCCTTAAATCTGACCTTGTTTATTCCGCATGTATTCATTTGGGACATAAATGATTCAATATTGTAACAATTAGATGAATTTTGTGACAGATTTGATTTTCTGACATCTTGCTTCTTTAATTTGCTTGGCCAAATTAATATTTTGAATTTTCCTTTTGCCTTCATGCTGTAAATGGTCTTAATTATCTTCCATTTAAGTCCATGTGAGAATAAAAATTGTCATTTTCATTAAACCTTAGATTATTCAAGTTGCTTTCCTCGGTCTGGTAGCATATGAATAATCGGTAACTGTTGTTGGGCTATATGTATTTTTATTAAATAACCATTGAATCGAAATAATTCAAACTACTTATTGCAGTGGTACTGTGAAATTGCTTTCCTAATTTGCAGAGAGTAGCAAAATGTGAAAATTAACTTGATATGTTTCTTCCTTCAACATTATGGCAGTGAAAAGGATCTGGTGTATTTATGCTTCTGGTGTATTTTAACTATGGTGTTGAAGAAGAGGGTAGATTATGGATTTAGCGGCTTTCGAGTTCCTATTATACCTAAAGCTCCTAGATCTGCAAGGGTAAGTACCGAGTACTCTCTGCAATTGTGGCGATTGTTTTATGTATTCCATTTTTGTGCATTGAACTCTACTTCGATCTTTTTTGATAATTGTTCAGAGAAGGGGTCCTTTCAAAAAAGCAGCCGAGGATGGTAGAGTTTGTGCTATTGAACTACTGGCATCTTTAGCTGGCCAGTTGTTGCAGGAGAGTGAAAGTTCTGCTTCCAGCAACGCATCTGAAGGAAATCATCAACCTACCATTAGCCAAGGTGTCATTGAGCAAGACAGACAAGATGAAGTTAAACCATTAAAAACGGAGGAAATTCACCAGGGAAGTTGCGCTGAGAGTACTGTTAAGACTGAGGTAGTGTCACAAAACAGTAGCCAGAAACCTCTTCCACATGCCAAGATTGATTGTACACTAGGACGTGTTTCAGTTAATAATGATTCTGACTGTTGGGAGAAAGTTGAAGCTGAAGTGAAGTCTGAAATTTTCAAATGGGATAAAAAATTTGGGAATTATTCTAATAGAGTGGTAGAAACACCTGAAAAGTTTAGGGAGTCTAGTGATGGTAACATGAAGAATGGATTTAAACTGGAACAGGAAGCTGGCAGTTCATGCTTTAGGGGAACAAATTTGGCTGATAAATGTAGTTTGAAGGGCCACTTAGAAATGTATGTATCTCCTACACTAATTGACTCAAAAAGTAATATTAAATCTCCATTTCATAGGAAATCTTTCCCCAGTGCTTCCTTTTCCAAGCATGGGAATGGTATTAAATTAGGTTTTAGAGATGATGACGAAAACTTTTTAAGGTGCAAAAAAGTTTGCACAAAGTTGAAGGCTTTTAGGTCTCCACGACGCATTGCACACCGAAGAATCAGGAATTTGATGTCTTCTAAATACTGGAAGACAGCTCCAAAGTTGAAAGACTGTGAACTTTCTAGATCTGGTAATGTGGCTTATAAATGTGCAACCAAATGCTTTATTATCTGATGCATGCTATGTCTACGATTTTGATTGTCTGTCGCTGAAAGTAATATAGAATTTGCAGATTTAGGAGTACCTCATTATCATAAGAGGAAGACTTGCTATGCTTTTGAAAAATCTCAGCACAACACTATTATTAAGAAGAGGAAAATTGTTGATCGGGTTTCCGGAGTAACTTCTGATGGAGGATTCAGCAGTGAGAGTGTGTCCAATTCACCTCAGAAAGGGACGGATGGAGACAAGCCTAGCTCATCTTCAAAACTGCATGTAGCTAAGGCTAAAGATTCTCATGGTAACTGTTCCTTTTATACTCATTCGTTCTGCTTATGTTGATTGTTCACCACACTCAACAGTAACATATTTGTTCTTTAAACCTTGTGAACAGTAAAGTTTAGCATTAAGTCGATAAGGATTCCAGAGCTTTATATCGAGGTTCCTGAAACTGCAACTGTTGGTTCACTAAAGGTATAAATATAGATAGTCAAATAGATAGCTCCTATGTTACTGTAGGCAAACCTTCATCCACACTTTTGCTGTCTTGTCTGGCTCTAACCTTTGCATTGTATATATGCTTACAAATTTTTATAGAGGACAATCATGGAGGCGGTAATGGCTATACTTGGAGGGGGTGCACATGTTGGTGTTCTTCATCATGGGAAAAAAGTTAGAGATGACAATAGAACTCTAGTGCAGACTGGTATATCTTGCAATGAAAATTTGGATACCCTGACTTTCATGTTGGAGCCCAGTTCTATTCAAGCTTCTCCAACCGTTTGTGTTGGGGATCCTTCTTCTCAATGTGAAACATCCCAGCTTACCAGGTGAGTCAAATTCCATACCATAGTTTCTTTTTTAATCAGCATAGCTGATTTAGGAAGGGAAATGATCAAGATTAATTTATTGGGTAGAAATTGTGATTTCAGTTCTATTTAGTGGATTTATATTTTTATACTAATTCTAATATCATTATCTGATTTTTCTAGGCCCACAGAAACTCCTGTCTTAGATTCAGGGGTTACTGATACCTTGCTTGACTCACCCTTGCTAACTTATCCGGGCAACCTAATTGAAAGTAACCATGAATCTACTTCTTCACTCGCCGACATTACAGTTGACAAAATAACACCTGATTCCAGAGCGCTGGTTCCTGTTCCAGCTAGCACAGAAGCATTAGCTGTGGTTCCTGTGAGTCAGAAAACCAAGCGCTCTGAATTTGTACAGCGTCGAACCAGGAGACCATTTTCTGTGGCTGAGGTAGAAGCACTTGTTCACGCAGTTGAGGAACTTGGAACTGGGAGGTATGATTTTATCAATAATTTCAGCTTACCTGCTGTGGATAGACAGCGAAACTAGCTTGCTGATTATATTTATGCCATGCAGGTGGCGTGATGTTAAGTTGCGAGCTTTTGAGAATGCAGACCATAGGACGTATGTAGACTTAAAGGTATGTTAATTTTTCGTTCCCTCTCTAGTAGCCTAGCACTCATTAACATGTGGGGTCACCTTACACGGTTCTACTACTAGAAAGATAATCCACAACAAAAGGCATGGGTTTTTCCATTGTGATTATTTTTATTCATCATGGTTCCTGTTTGTTAGACACTTTCAGTTGGTACCTAGGATAATATAACTAGTTATTTAGTCCACTTTTGATCTATGGATATCATTCTTATGGTTTTTGTTTGAGTGATGCCCAGCATTATACTTATATTCTTAAGTTGATAAAAATCCCTCTTTTATTTCCTTTATAGAATGATTTAATTTCCATGTACTTCCTGTGTAAAAATTTCTATACATTGTGATCCAATCATATAAATAATAAAAGGTGTAATATTTTGAGTAGTGATTGTAAAAAACAAGCAACTTACTATGTTATCCATTTGTGATGGATGACAGTACAATTACACTCTCAATGCATAAACTGTACACTCTTATAAAATATAAATATTGAATAAGAAAGATTAGCACAATTGCGCTGATTGAATCCATCTCCATTTTATGGTTGTAAGGAGAGAGGTTATAGTGTTACTACAATTGCTTAATTTCTTCCACTTGATGTGCACAGGATAAATGGAAAACATTGGTGCACACTGCAACAATCTCCCCTCAACAAAGGAGAGGAGAGCCAGTACCTCAGGAGCTCTTGGACAGAGTTTTGGCTGCTCATGCTTTCTGGTCTCAGCACCAAGCCAAGCAGCATGGCAAGCATCAAGCTGGATCTGGAACCTTGAAGATTGCAGAAGCCTCAGCTGAAAGACCGTGTGTTTGTTGAAGGTGTCCAGTTCAATCAATTGGGATGATGGTGTAGAAAGGAGTGGTGGTGTTGACAGGAAAACAGGAAGACAAACTTGTACATTTTGATTTAATTTCATGTAATATTCTCACACCAAATTCTTTGCCGGCCATTCATTGCATGCAGGTTGGCATTTGTAAATGATTTGATGCAATAAGATTGTTCTAACAGGAACTTGTACTGTTCTTTGATTTGTATTTTATTCTTTTACATTTATGAATGTACGTAGACGTGTAAAAAGAACATAGAACATGACAGCCCAAAGGAGAGGTGAAAAATGTTCTTGTTATATGATCTTTCATTTCATTATGGAAATTAATGTTCCCACTTGTTTGAATATCACTTTCTATTTACTGAATTGGTACATGTTGCTATTTTGTTTGTTTAGTTTTGGTGAAAATATATACTATGATCAAGACTGATGAAAAAATAATAATTTTCTCTTTAGAGTAATCAATAGTGAGATTTCAGTCCTTGATTAATAATTGAGTGTCACCAAATGAATGATATAATTATTTGCTCACATTTGTTTTTGGTGAAAGAAAAATTGAAATCATTTCTCATCCTACAAAATAGTTGAATATATAATTTGAGATGGAAGGGTCCACCATTAGTATGTGTTGTGGCTATGATTTCACTTTATAAAAAAAGTAGATGAAGACAAAGTGGTCTTGTGGACATTGCGGTTCTGAGGACGAATATTCCTCCCTCCTCCGGGATCCTTATCCACACTTTACACGAAATACGATGCACACGTGTCCCATGCATTTTATTTTTTCAATGACAAAACTATTTTTCATGTCTTTATAAAAAAATATAGTTGTTGATTGATTGCAGTCAATTTATTTATTATAGATATTAGGTTGTATAATTTTATAACCATTCATGAATTTCATTTTCAATAATATTAGGTTGTAATGTCAAAATATTTTAACAATGGACAGAAACCGTAGTAAATTAGTCAGCTAAGAATATTTTATAATATTATAATAATATGAAAACTGTTTGATTAAATATTAAAAAAAAATTTTATATATATATGACTGCATTTTGAGGTTCATAATATAAATATTTTGAAGGTTTAATATTTTTAACGACTTTTTAAATCTATTTTTTATAAAATAAAATCTTACAGTTGAATATTACATTTTGTTAATAATTTTAAAAACATTAAAAAGTTGTAAATAATAATAATGCGTTGAGGGTGAGGATCTCTTCTGATCTGATCACCATAAACAATCCTATATAATAATCCTAATCATTTATTATGTTTATTATTCAAAGTAACAGTCAAAATTAAAACCAACTAAAACAAAAAAAAATTAGGAAAACACAAGTATTTTTTCCCAATATATAGAACACAACCATTTAATGAGTATAGATAAAATATTTGCCTGTTTAATGGATAATCAAGAAAATATTAAATTCACTATTTTATTTTAGAATAATCCTTAGATATTTACATCTCAATGTATAAAACATTTATTCTCCAATTAAAATTATTAAGCCCAGACATTAACTAAGTAGTGTATGGTTAATTGGGTAACCTTAATCCTTATTTTTAATTTGTCTTTCTTTTGCAACTATTATTGGGGATGGAAACTTATAGAATGTCAACGAACTTGTAAAACCGAGGACGAAATTTCTCATAAAACAACTTTACACAATGAAGTAAACTATTGAATTTAGTTACAGACTTTACAATCTATAAGTTCCTATATGTCAGTGTTTGATACAACATGTGATAAACTTGACTTTACAACAATGAAGTAAATAATTGAATTTAGATGCAGACTATAGAATTTGTAAGTTCCTATGTCCGTGTTTGATGATATATGCAGTATTATATTTCATATACAGATGATTAACTACAGAAGATTGAGATATTCTTTCCTTGTTCGATGATAGGCATGAAATGCATCATCGAATTTGAGTGCGCCCCAGTGACCAAAGGCCTGTATCTTTAACAGTGGCCTGAAAAGAAAGCAACATGATGAAACTTAGGGCAAAGTGTTTGAGTTTGGAGAGGCCAAAAAGTGGAGATAAAGAAGCATCATTGAAATTGGTCACATGCTTACAGGTGCTTTCATTGATGGGAAAATACTCCAGAACCGGAGAGTCTCATCCCCTGCTCCAGTTACTATTGTCTGTAATTGTTCCAATAAAATTAAAATGATGTATAAAAGATGAATAATTTCTTTTCAACAACACATAATGGAATTACGTTATATGGGGACATTCAGTACCTGACCATCAGGGGACATTGCAAGGTAAAGCACTCTCATGCTATGGCCAGTTAGAGTTGCAACCTAATCAAAATTTGTCCATTAGGTCAAGGCATACACAAAGTTTCCTGGTTGTAGTTTCTCTATAATATCTAGAATTGCCAAAGTAAAGTACCTTTGTCAATGACGGATATTTCCACACCATAATCTGATTTTGGGAGTATCCATGAGTACTTACTAGCTCATTCACATTTTTACTCCAAACAAGGTTGCAGACCTTCAGATCATGCATTAAATTAGTTGAGATGTTCTCTTTGTTTGAATATGTACCAAAAGTCTCAGTGCACAAAAATGAGAAAGAAAAATACCTGGCTCCCAGTGTCAACACTGTTCAATTGATGGCCATTTGTAGTGTTCCAAAAACGAATGCACCTATCAGCAGTTCCACCTCCAGATACAAGGAGACCGCTTTGGTGAGGTGACCAAGCAATGGCCTTAACAGCAGCAGTGTGCTCTGTAAGTCTCAAAGCTGGTTGCTGAGAGTGTTGATTCCACACCAGGAGCTGCTCATGTTATAAAACATAACATTGAAGAGTAAATCACAGAAATCACTAAACGAGAAGTATGGAATAAAAAACTATTCTGGACTTGGTACAGAAAAGTATACCTGATTATCATTACCACCAGAAGCAAGTTCCTTGTCATCACAGGACCATTTCAATCCACATACCTATTACAAAGTGAGGGATAACAATTGTTATTAATTTCTCAGAATCCAGGTCTTTAACATTACTAGTTCAATGTATACTCCTAAAAATATTTTTACCTCTGACTTGTGGCCAACAAGCTTGTTAATAAAGTCACTTGAAACCCTCATGTCATGCTGAAGTATGTTCCTATCTCTGCTCCCTGAAGCCAAAATGCGAGAGTTCCATGCCAACACACCAGTCCTTGTCTGATGCCCACCCATAGTTCTGACCTTCTTACACTGAGTTCCATCCCAAACCTGTATACCATTAGGCAAAGGGTATTATTATCTTATTCTAATCATGAAATGAAACAATGCATGGATGGATAATCAGAGATCTTAAGTATGCTAACAAAGTACCTGGACTTGGCCAAGATTTGTACCAACTGATATAAAAGAACCCTCCCGGGTCCATTGAACAGAACAGACACCATCATTAGGCCCCAAGTCACATAGCTTAGTCACCTGAAAGCCACATAACGATATTTCACATTAGATTCATCATGTGAGGGGTTTTTGATAAATTTGAAATTATTCGTAGTTTGGACTCACTTTACTGTTTGAAGCGCTATATAGATAAACACAAGTGCCTAGTCCCACAGCAAGAACATTCTGTGAGGACCAGTCCACTAGATTCAAGTAAAAGTCATCTTGAAGAGATGGAGCATCTAGAACCTGCGCAACCTTGTCCGGTATTAGCAATCAACATTCATGTTCAACAATCCAATATATATCACAACAGGTTGAAATTTGTTCATGCTGTATTAAGGACCAATATATATCTCACAAGCTCAAGTTTGGGAAACACGAGAACAAAAGCATGGGTTTACTTTTTAGAGCTGAAATTCAACTTCATTGAAGAGGAATGAGGGCCACTAAGGATTGACTACTTGTCAAAGAGGCTCCCAATATAGCACATTGGAAGTGATTGAGACACAAATGTAACAAAATGGAACAGCCCAATATATGCCAACGTTACCTTCTATAGTGACTCATGTAACCATTGACCTCCATATTCTTCTTTACTTGTTTCCACTACAATCGTTCTAGATCTCCCTCTACTTCAACGAATTATTCTAACAAATCTCCACATGACCAAAATTTTCAGAGTTGATAGAATTCAGGAGATTAATCAGAACCACAGACACATGGTGGTCTCAGAAAATACGATATTTTTCCCACTGCAACAGCATTTTGTTAAATCATACCCATAGCTCTTCTACATGCAAGCTCAAAGCATTCTACCAATTTTTTTTATGATAGGTGTCATCTCGAAACAATTTTTTTAATGTACTATTTTTATTTGTAAACCAAGTAATTTCTGCCGCCATTTCTACCATTAAGAGTAAAAATTAATCTGAGAGCACTGAGATCCTTCGGGTTTAAGGTATAGGGACCCTTACATTGAATTGACTTTTCCCATCAAATATTTTTTATTAACACTAGCCTGGGGATTAAAATCCTAACTACCTGTCTCAAGAGCAAAGTTATTTCCCACACTCAGTCATGTCAAACCATGTTGGTAAAAATGTACTATTAAAACACACCTAAACCATGTATAACAAGTTCACCAATTGCCACAGTTGTCTCAGAAACAGGAGCACAAAATGCATAAGTTTTTCTTTTCAAATCACAATTTTGCAAGCCAAGAAGAAGCATACATACAAATGGTGGCCACATGGAATGAAAAAAAAGGGAAAAAAAAAAGAGCTTGCCTTGAGGGGTGTCTTGAGGACTTTCCGGGGAGGTTTGGGAGGTGGCGTGGAGGAGTCAGAAGCGAAGGTACTCTGCTGCCCCAATATGGAGGGCGAGTAGGGGGAGGACGGCGCAGCGGAGTGATCGGTCTTGAAGCGGAGCATATTCTTGCTGGGGCTGATCGGTGAAGGAGGAGCACCTGCAGAAGGAGAAGAAAGAGAAGAAGGAGAAGCAAAGTCAGATCCAAAGAGTTCGCATTTCAACAACCTGGAATACACCTCGTTACTCCCTTCCTTCACCGGCGAGGGCCTGTCCACCAGGCCAAACGTGTGCAGCCGGGAGGAGGACCGACACGGGATGAACCTGTCGCTGCACGTGCTCGATTTCGAAGGTGAAGTAAGGTTGGAGATGGAACGAAGAGAAGAAGGAGAAGTGAGGCTCGCGATGGAACGAAAGGAAGATGGAGGCGATGAAGCAAATGTGTCGAGGCGGAGTGAGGTTCCGGACATCCCAGCTGGGAGGTTCAAACCGGATTTCTTTATTTGAGGAGACTCCATTTTCAGCTTCTACTGCTGAATGAATAAGAAGAAGGAGAAGATAAACAAAGCTGAATGCAGAAGATGATCCTTTCTCTCTGTTTCTGTGAAAGAAAGCAAAAGAAAAAGAGAAAAAAATCAGAGAGAGGGTTTTGGTTTATGGTGGTGATGGAAGTGAAGAAGAATAGTGACTTTGATCAGTGGGAGCTTATTATAAATTCAACGGTCGAATTCTGAGGAGCGTGGGAAGAGGGAAGGAAAAGAGGAAACAGGGTCGGGTTTGGAAGGCCCATAAATTTATTACCTTAGAAGAGATTCCAACGGTCATTTACTTATATAAAAAGCATAGCCGTTAAGTTTTTTGTTTTAATTATTTACTGTTTGTAATGTTTATTTTATTTTTAATAAACAAGTGTATGAAATGATATATATCCTTCCAAAATGTTTTAAAATAATGAAGTCATTATTTTTTAAATAATTTATAAAGGATAACCAGTTCTAAAAGAAATGGAACTATATAGGCTTGTGTGTGAAGTATTAAAAACCATACTAGATAATCAGGTATAAAAAATATAACATACTCTCTTTTTTTTTTTTTTTTTTTTGTAGAATTGATCCTTAACTTTAGGAAAATATATTAAATTATTTAGGGAACAGAATTATTTTTTAATATAGTACTGTGGGAATTGAGGATTTGTTTGAAATATGGACTTTTTTTACCATAACAAATAATATATATATATATATATATATATATATATATATATATATATATATATATTATTTATGGATTTTTAATAGTTTTCAAGTGTTATTTGTTACTAATTGTGTGATTATGTATTTGCAAATGTTTTATGAGTAAGTTATGGTAGGTATGACGACGGGCAGGGCGGGGTCGAGTTTTGCCTTCCGATCTCCCTTCCCAACTTTTTTAATCATCCATGTCCCCGTCCCGAGATCTCAGTTGGGGTTAGAAATTAAGTCATCATCTCCGTTCTCATCTGGGTTTTGGGTTTCTCGTTCACGCCTCGTCTCCGATTTATATTATTTTTGAAAAGATAATTATATTTATAATAAATTAATTTTACTATCTATTTTTATATATAAATAAATATTTATAATTTATAATTATTACTAATTAAATATATTTTTTAATTTATTATATTTATATTAAAATATGTATGTAAAAGAAATATTTAATCATTTTTTCTTTATAATATTATTATTATAACACTATATTCAAATATTTGAATATTTATAACACTATTATTATAATATCTGTATTCAAACATTTGATTATATATATAAGCTAATTCATTTTTAAGTTGTCATTTAAAAATATTAAATATATAGTTTATAAGGAAATATTTAATAAGTTAATTCTTATTCAATTAGTTCGAAGTAATAAAAATTTAAATTATCAATTCCTTTAATTCTTCAAAATATAATTATTTTATTAAGATAAAATTTGATATATGATAAATAAGAATAATAAGATAAAAAAATATGACATAATAAAACCTAATAAATATAAATTATAAATAAAATAATATTAGTTACTACTAAGATTTATGTAAAATATTTAGAAAAAGATAAAGAATAAAAAAAAATTAACTATGTGTTCATCAAATTGGTTGAAAAGATTGAAAAAAATAAATAAATTGATGGGAGAGATTAAGGAAATGTGAAAACTGAAAGGTAAAAGAAAGAATAATGTAATAAATTAATTGATATAAAAGATTAAAAAAGACAAAAAAATTAAAAAGTGGGTAGAAGAAATTTTTTTTGGTGAAATATAAAAAAAAGACCTTATATGTAATAAAAAAAGAAAAGAAAATATTTTTAAAATATTAATATTTTAAAATTTAAATTTAAATATAAAGTTGGAGCGTGGACGGGGACGGGGTCGGGGTGGGGATTGCATTACCCATCTCCGCTCCCACCTCCGATTTTTAAAGCGAGAAAAACACTGAACCCGCCCGTCCCCGTCAACTCCGGTTTTTCCAGTCAAACTCGGAGCGGGAATGAGTTGGTCCCATGAGGACTGGTTTAATTGTGTTCCCAAGTTATGGTAAGAAAATATATGATTGTTTCTGCAAATGTTTATAAATCTAAATAGAAATTATCAAATTATATTGGGGTGATTTAAGACACGGGATCTTGAATCATTACGACTTGTGTTTTACATTTACTAGACTTTTTATTGGTGGCATGAAATGATTTTTTTTCTTATTCGGTTTAAAATTTTAACTATAATTATGTTTAATTGATTAGAATAATATAATTACCATTTACTATATGTTTTTAGAAGAACATATTTTAATAACAATTAAATATAACACTGGGGGATCATCTTAAATATATTTTAACAAGTGAAAAAAATATTTTATTAAAGTTATGACATATAAACAATATTTCATTCTCAGTCACAATTATATTATGTTTCAAATATGCACAAAATGCATAGATCTACACCTACGTAAAAGAATTAAATAAAACTACACTTTATATTTACAATCTTATCAAAAAATAAATATAACTAATCATAATATTTAAATTTAAAGTCATAGTTACACAATAAGATCCTCACACCAATTAGTAAATAGGTATGTTCGAAACCAACTCCAAATCATAAGTAAATTGTTTTTTTATAAACTTCAATTCATTGAATGACTTAAACAATGATACTGTATATACTAATTAAAACTAGTTTCCTATTTACTTTAATTAATTATTTGGAATACCCTTTTCTAATATTATATTAACCTAATATAAATGTTTTTAATATATATAACTCATTTTTTCATATTCACTGTTTTCACTCAAAGAAAATTATCAAAAAGAAATATGTATTTTTTCTTTTATTTATTCCAACAACACATTTTCTACTACATTTTTTAAAATTTTTATTCATTTTTTTCTTTCCTAAAAAGTTTCTTTTAATTCAAACAACGCATAGAAGAGAAGGAAAACGACTTGCACAAGTTCATGAAATAAAATAAATTTATGAATGCTATGCATTATACTGAAAAGAGAAAAAAATATAAAAAATCAAAAGCATGATGCTTGTAGCTTAAGCAACTAATTGGATGAGAGGAAAACATTCTCTAAATTGAGGTATGATGTTGAAGACAACTAACTAGTCTTGTGTTATGAATTCAATTACAATGAATATTTTAGTTGATAACTGCGGAGCCAGTCTTCACCCTTTTCAAAATAATCCATCCTACTGAAGGTTTGAGTATGGAATTGTGGGATTGATGCATATGCAGCAGCCCCACGCCATGCATCCATAACAGGATCCAATGCTCTCACTACTTTTATGGGTGATCCACATGGTCGAATCATCCGAATTCCAGCTTCAAGGCGTTCAATGATGCCTGGAAAAATAGAACTTCCACCAGTCAAAAGTATGGAGTTAGTGAGTCTCTCTTCTAGGCCTTCATCCTTGCATGATAACCTTCTTATTGAGACCCCAGCCATCTCATCTAACCCTGCTTGATCAACTGCTACCCAGTTTGGATTGAACAAGATTTCAGGGCATCGGAACCTTTCAACACCAAAGACAATTTGAAAATCTTCTTTGCTGAGAGGACGGACACGGGAAGCCTCAGAAGGTTGAGAGCTACCAGTTTCTGACTTGGGCACAAATGTTGGATCCAAGTCCTACACCAATGTAACAATTTTCAACAAGATTTTTGAGTCATCGAGAGCTTGTACAACACAGCAATGCAAATGCAGACTGCACTCCACAGAACATGTTAACATTGTTATGAAAGACATAAGCTAACCTGTAGCTTTGAAGAGATGCGAGTTAGCTCTGTGTAGTCCTCATCTGGTCCCTCATCACCATCATCATTATCTTTGCTCATCAATTTGTAAAGTTGCCAATCTTCATCTTTGGCACCAAATGTATCTTCGCCCTTACCGCGATCAAAGGCAGCAGTTGTTAAGAGGCGCATTCTCTCCCTTTGAGCAGCATTGAGTCTCTCACCACGACCAATGCCACCAGACAAGTTATTTCCGTTCGAATGATCTCCATTTGTCTTGAGCCGTTTTCGCTGGTCAACTTTCTCTGAAAGGTCTTTGTATTTGGCACGCAATTGTTCCAAGTAAAGCTCCGGGTTCTCTCTATAGTAAGGGAAAAAGAACAACCAGAAAGGTTTTAAAGCACAATAGAGAACAATAATTATTAAATACTCAAACCTAGGCAAGACTCGAGATTTGTACAAAAGCCATATCCTAATCCTTCTCTCCCTTGCTAAGACACTAAGTAAAGAAAGCTTTTTTCCATTTTAGCAAGTATAAATGATGATATGCTTTTTGACTCGCATAAATATGCAACAAACAAAGTACTTTTAGTTAAACTGAATAAACTGACTCGCATAAACATACAGGCGTTTTTCCTCCTCTAACTGTCGTTTCCTTTCTCGCTCCAATTCCTCTTCATAACGCTTCTGTTTTAACCGCTGTCGTCCGTCTGACATGGATTTCAGTGAGAACTGTTTCTTTTTTTCAACAAGCTATCAACAAAGCACAACCAAAAATACATAGTCAACATCACAAGACACAGAGAACAACTTGAAAAAGAAATTATTTGGATATTGAAGAGCGAAGCAAACACATATAGAAGCCAAATTTTAAAGTTACATTAACGGGTGGAAAGACGATAAATTCAATCTAAAGATGCATTTGATAAGCTATTAGATACAAAACTGACCTGGTCAGGGGAGAGCATGTCATCAGGGATGTTTATAAGAGAATACTTCTCATTGGTGCCAGGGTCAGCCTTTTCAGTTTCAGTTTGTTCACTCTTTGGTTCACCTTTTGCTTTACGTAAGGATTGAGTAACTTTAGTGCGAGCAGATTCTATCTCCTGCCTAGAAACATAACCAGTCTCTGCTAGGAAAGATGGAATATCATTGTCTTCAACTTGTTCGAGCTGTTTTAGAAGAAATTCCAAACCATGCAATTCATTTTCCAATTCGTTTATTCTAGAAGACCTCTTTGCCTCAGCCATTTCTCGTAACCTTTGACCCTGCCTCTCTCTTATTGCCGCCTTTCTAGCAATCTCTTCCTCAGAAGGAGGCTCCTCAGTTGGGGGTGGAACCCAAGGGAGCTGCCAACATCTGGTTTTTTCTTTAGCCTCCTTACCATTTTTCTGTCAAACCATTAATCAAGTAAAACCTTAGAAACAGATAAACAAACAGTTTATGAACTTAGATTGAAAAGAAGAGCATCTTCATACCTGAAACAGTCGAGCTTCAGAAGCATAGTCTGGTGCAATATAACAATGTTCCATCTTCAGGTCGTCAACCTTTTCCCATGTAAATCTAGCCCTGCATTGAGAATTAGAAAAAAGAAGAAAGAAATACTATGTATTTAGCAATCAGGTTAACGATCGCAGAACAAGGATGATTTTATACTCACATATGACAAGGATATTTAAGTGAAAGAAGTTGCTTTAAATAATCAGTCACATGGAATCCACCAATATTAGTTCGACAGCATCCTTTATATATAGGCTCCCCATCTACAAACTGGAAATATAGAAATGTGAAAATAAATATTATTAAGAGTTAAAACACTTTATACACCTGATAAGGTTATCTAAATCCTGTCAGAAACTATGTTATGAAGCAGAATGGCCATTGAATTTATTTAAATATTTTAAAGAATATTTTTCCAAAATTTATTCAGTGATATTCTTATACTTAGTTTTTTACCCATAGGGAAACACCCTTCATCAGGAAAGCTGGGAACATATTTTACCTTCAACTGTGCACACCCTCTATTATAAGAACAGATATAAAATTGTGTTTAAGCAATTCATCTTTCTAATTTTAAATATTATTTTAGAAGAGGAATGTAAGGAGATTATTGATTCCCAAATCTTCTTGAAAATAATTATGCATACAGATCAACAATATTATTGATGACAGAGAACAGAAAGTCTGATACAGCAGCACAGAGCAAATGAGGTATATCAATATAAAGAATGCAACTGGTACCTAGCAAAGGCACACGTGTCAAAACAAGAGAATTTTTCATCATATTACACCCATCCGTCATAGAAGGTCAACGAATGCTCAAAAGTAAAACAATTATGATACTTATGTGATGCAAGGACAAACAAAAATGATAAGCTATTTCCTTGGCATAAAAATCCGTAAATAACACAAAAATCATACCGGAATCACATGAGTTGTACTGAATCCAGGACACAAAGCAAGACCATCTTTATCACAAACACCATGTTGCTGATTATACTTATAGCTGAATGCCGCATCAACACCATAGGCTGCCATAACAGAGAAGCATAAACGTCATTGTCAAAAAAAATTACGTGTACCAAATCTCGTAAGAGTAGCAATAAATTTGTGCCCATGATTAGGTCCAAACTAGTAACAACTATGTGACAAGATGTCAAGCGCAGTCTTGATGGCCTTCATTAGAAATTTGTTTTTCACTTAAGAATTGACCTGGTGAAAAGATTGGGCATACAACAACAGGCAAGCTAGCATTTCAGTTTCTACAAAGGTTACTTGGAGAAGATGAAGTTTTTTATTTTACTTTTTGTTAGGATTAATAAAGCATTAATACCTATAGATGGAACTCCATATGTCTCAAAAAGAAGTTCTGCCATTTTACTACGAGACTGAATTGGGTTGCACACACATTCTGTGATCAGGACAGGATGATCAATCTGCTCTGACATTAAACATAAAAATAGAAAATAGTGATTTAAATAATTTAAATTGTAGAATTTCGAAAAGAGAAAAAATTGTATTCATCAAACCAAGGAACTCTTAGGCAACTAAAATGACCACTAAGTTTATTAGCATACGAGAAGTAATAGTAGTGGTCTATTGGAGTTTAAAATGTCAACTTAAAAAAGATAACAAACAAAGTGCTAAGGGAAGAAAAATCGAAAACGCTATTCCACTTATGGCCATACCTCTGACCCTGTTGCTCCCAATCGGTCAAATCCAAAGTCCAAAATCTATAAATGAAAGAAAATTTCAGTAAAGCTTCGTGTCGTATGTTCTTTAAATTTATGAACCCATACATCTGTATACATGCATGATCCTATTTCCAAATGTTTATATTTAATATGGTACACATCCTTTCCAGTGAGTTGTAAAAATCCTATAATCCCACACATTTACACATCAATTTATGCATTATCTCATACAAAGAAAACAGTTTCTCCATTTAATATACTAGGAAAAGGAACCTTGGTATTGTTGCCTAGTGCAAGACACCACTGTGTGTGAGCTAGTCCCAGGTTATTATTAAAATGTAATTGTAAGACCTTGAAATGCCGAGGTTCATATTCTTAGTAATAAAAAAATAATACTTTCGGCCATGTTCAAACAATATTTAACTTAAACAATATCATCACAGTTTTAAAGCTAGAATCCGTGAAGAAGAAAACAGAGTATCTTTTGGAAATTGGATACTTTTTCTAAAAGCATTTTAGATTAGAGTATCCCAAGGTTTGAATAAATAAAACCTTAGATTTACTACTTATTCTGGTGTTCAATTTGGACAAATTAACAACGAAACAAAGATATCTCATTAATCCTCATATTGGAATAACAAAATAGACGGCAAATATATTCTCACACATAATTCTGACATGCAGTCACCCAAATAGACCATTTCCTGTATTAAAATTGCTACTTAATATGCATATAACACCCAAGACAGAATCAACACAAATCACATGCTTGCATGAGATCATCAGAATTGAATTCTAAACGCATAATAAAATTCACATTGATTGACTCAAAAAACAAGTCCTTCATATACTCACAGGATTGCCACAAGGAAAAACTTACGTATTCCATCATTTCAAATTGGTAAACAACATTGCTGTCAAATGCTGAGCGGGGTCCAGTCCGAGTACAGTCAAAGTATTTCATTAATGCTGGATCATGGTCACCAACAATAGTGACGACTTCTCCTGTGTTACAACAGAATGTTCCAAATAATTTTATTTAACATTCGGACAAATTACCTTTTGTTGGCCCCATTACCAATAGTTCATAAGACAGTTCCTCTTAACTATAAAACACTACCAACTCACAACAATAAATATATCCCACTCCCATTTTATATTTTTTAATATATTAAATAAACTAAAGAAAATGCACCAAGACAATACATAAAAGGTTAACAACTATAACATTAACGACACAGTTTCACCAACATTTTCGACAAACACAAATACATGTCACTGTAACTAAGGTGAAGAAGAACAAGAAAACTGGCGAAAATGTAGAATGTATGATACCATTGGCTTTATGGCGTGGCCTTTGAACAATGTTGCGAAAAACAACACGAGGTTGAGTCTCTCCTGCCCATCTGACAATTCACCAAAAAGAACCAACTTTAACATTAAAATCAGCAACCCCATCACGAGCTGATTCGAAAAACACATAAGCCCAAAAATACAGTCTAAGTTTTGAGACAAAATTAGGGTTCGAGAAGATACCCAATGCGAAAATACGAGGCGCCATTGTCGATGACGATGGGAGTGTCGGAACTGAAGAGAGTGTAATCAGATTGGCGCTGAATTTTGGAGATGAAAGGCATTGTGTTAGTGAAAGAGAAGAAGAATAAGAAACTTTGATTCTGTGTGTTCCTGCAACTCGACAAACTCTGCAAATGGTGAACAACATAAGTAACAGACATGGTGAGCTCCGACCCGATCGGACTAATCCGAACCACAGTATGGGTCGGGCGAGGTAGAAATGGATCATTGCAATTAAAAAATTGCTATATTTTCTTCTATTTTTGTCTAGCCATGCAAACCGCAGTCTTCTTCTATTGGCAATCTTATCTAATATAATGTAATTATAATCAATTGTGTAAAATAGTACAAATACAATGTAATTAGAGTATATAAACATTAAATAATCTAAATAAATTATTTTTTATTTTTTCCATGAATAATTTTTTTTGTTTAATTTGTTATTAAAATATTTATATTTTAAGATATTAATTATAAAAAATTACAACAAAAGTGTAACAACGAAAGAATACCTTACAATATAAGCTTATGCTATAGTACAATCAATATGAAAATTCTGTTTTTTTTTTTTACATTTTCAATTTAAAAAGAATGATTAGCCACAAAATTTAATTAAGACTATATTTATTATTAATTAGAAATTTTAATTGAAATACTTTATAATTAATTTTAAATCATCAAAAAGTATATATATATATATATATATATATATTATTTTTACATTGAATGTTTATTTTTAGAGATGTTGAATTGAAAATAAATAAAAATATATTTTTTATCTTAAATAATAAAAAAGATATGTTTATCACTTAGTAATAGATAAGTAATGATTCATTTTGACCCATATGTATATTAAAAATATAAATTAATATAAAGAATAATGTATGATTTTAACTGGTGATTTTGTTATAGATAATTGTTGTTGGATCAAATTTTATCATTAAATAGGAAATTATAACTTATAATCAAGTCATAATTTTTCTTTCTAACAGTGTAAACATTATGTATTTAGCAACAGTAAAAATTATTTTTATTTATGAAAAGGATAACATATTTTTTCACAAAGAATAACTATTTGGGAATTAAAAAAAAGTCATATTAATCTAAGTGTTAAATCTTCTAAATGTTAATGTTCTCAGCACTATCCTTCTATTATAATTTTAGTATAATTTAAATGTATATAATTTATTGATAAACAGTTTTGTATATTAAATATAAAAATTATCCTAATATATATTATATCAGTAAAAATAATATGAGGCTAACATAAAAAACATTTTTTCAGCACAAGAAATTTTATAATTAGCTAGAAAAATTAGCTACAAAATTTATTTTTCACTAATTTGTAGCTAATTAGCTATGAAATAGTGAAAGAATAAGATTGTAGTTAATCTGTAGTAAAATAACTAGAAGATTAATATTTTTGTAGCTATTCTTTCACTTAGTAAAAAGATAATCTAGTTAGGAAAATTTTTGTCACTAATCCCTCGCTATAAATATTAGATATATTACTTTTGAAGCTATTTTCTAGCTAAATTGTGTAACATACAATTATAATTAATCTGTAGCAAATTTATAGCAACTATCAAATTGAAAAAAATATTAAATTATTGGGAACCATTCTTATAAATTATTTTAGTTTTATAAAAAATACTTGTAAATTTCTCTAAAAATATATAATTATAAAAAATAATTTTTGATCTTTTTGAAAAAAATATCAATAAAAATTAATTACAATTTTTTCTTAAAAAAATTATATTTACCAAATTTACTATATATATAAATTTAAATTTGTTAGAAATATTTAATAATATTTAAATTAATAGAAATTTTTTATAAATAATACTTCTTTATAATTTTTTTAGAAACTATTCTTTATAAGAAATAAAAAAATTATTATATTAAATACTAATTTATTTATTTTTTTATAATTTTTTTAATAAAAATCTAAATTAATTTTTTCTCATCTTCTTCATATATAATTTTCTCAAACTTAGTTGATCGCTGTCTCTCTATGTCCCGTGCCACTCCCTGCCGCTGCTGCTCCTGTCCCTGCTGCCGCTCCTGCTCCTGCTGCTGCCGCTCTCGCTCTCGCGTCGCTCTTGCTGTCGCTCACGTTTTCTATTTTTATTTATAAATTATTTATTTTTTTCATTTTTATCCACTAACTCATATTTAAATTCAAGTGAGACAATTGTTTCAGTTTAATTTATATAAAAAAAGTATACAATTTTTATTTTTGGTGAATAAAAAAAATATAGTTGATTACTTGGATAATTTATAGAAATGAATTGCATTTCTGAAAGAATATTGTAGTAAAAAAAAAAAATAATAATAGTAGAATAAGAGACGCACATTGCGTGAAAGATATTACAATCTGGATATAAGGGTCACGATCTAGGCGCCACATAAATCCCCGATAATCTATAATTGGCGGGTTACCAGCATTCACTAATCCCAAACTCTGCGTTTTGATTGGACCACGGACCAGAAGCCTGTTAATTGCAGCATTGTACCAAAGCCAACCAAGTTTGGCTTTTCCACGGCAAATACTTAACACTTTCACCGATAACAACAGCCCCTCACAATTTTCCTTTTCCTTCGTTCACGAGGATAATATCGTAATGTTCGTTTCGATTTTTTCCAGAACCGCTTCCGTTTCTTCTTTCGGGAAAATCTCTTTTCTTCCACGAACCCTGGATTGTTTACGGTAGCATCAGGTTCATAGATCTCAATTTTATCTCAATTGTGTATTGTTTTCCCTTTTTGAAGGCTCGTGAGGCATGCTCAATTAAGTGTTGTTATCGTTGTTAAAAACTCATTCGGATAACTTTCTTATAATTTTGACGCGAATATCTAGGGTTTTGTTTCCTTCTTTTTTTTTTTATCATTACGAAGTCAAATTTATCTCAATTTAAATGAACAGGACTGAACTTAGTTCAGTTGCTGGAAATTTGTCAAAGGATAAAGATTGCAGTGAATTGTTGAGTTTCTTTTTTTCTTGCCAATGTTATTGTTTGTTTTCTTGCAGGTTTTATTTTCCATTGTCTAGAAACTGAGGTATTGGGTTGAAAGGGAGAACTTGTTTTCAACTGTGAACTGATTGCATTAACTTTTACGACAATTTCAACATGGTCTGTCCAGGTTCAACGCAATTGTCTCATGACGTTAGGCTCAGCAGTAATATTGGATTGTGTAGTTTCCATCGTCATGTACGCGGATATTTAGATGATTCTCTTCTGTTTCCTCTTCCAATTAAAATGCTAAGTTTTAATTTCATCATTTGACAGAAGCGAATGGGGGTTGGTCGATTACATTTGGTCACCATAAATCTTTCACCGTGTAGCTTGGTATGGTTTTTGTGAAGTAAAATTTGTATGCATAGTATCTTCTCCCTCTTCTTCCCTCTTTCCTCTATGTTGATGGATGATTTAATCATTTCCTGCTATAATTCCTCTGTTATTGGGGTGCTCAGTGGACCTGAGCCAGTTGGGTTACTTTGAACAAATTGTTACTTTGAGGCATCCCTCCCGTGGTTAGATGCTTAAAAGGAACCCAGTAGAAGGTACCTTGGTTTGTTTATTGGGACATTAATTTGAAGCAATAGAGTACATTGTGATTTCCTTTACAATTTTTTTATTTTTATTTTTCAATTCCAATAGGATAGTTGCTGGGTTTTATTTATATTTTCACTTCTGGGTGTTGCTTGCTGTCATGGCTTGAATAAGGCTGTATATTGACATTTTCTTGTTTAAAATTATATTTTATCTTTTCTTTTCATCAAGTAGTTTGATTTTTTTTTTTATACATTTTTGTTCTTAAATTTTTCCTATATTGCATATGCTAATGAACTATCATTGCATCTTATTCATGCTGTTCATTCGGGAGGCATTCCATTGAAGTTTGGATGTGATCTTGAAGCAAATTCTAATCTCAGTGAGTAATTCGATTCAGAAACTTTTTGGTTAAAGCTTGTGGAATGGGATAATGTTGACGCTACTATTTAACTAAAGCCTCAAGATTTGATTTGGTTTTTGCTTTTTTAGGTACCATACTTTGATCCCATAATTTTTGTAAGTATGTTTATAAAGTTTTATTCCTTTCTCATATTTGGCTGCATTGGTAGTCTCTTCATCCAGCTACCTTTGATCGCTCTTAATTCTCATTCATACGCACAGTACCAAATTTCACTAATTGCAAGATCATAATTATTTCATTAAAGTTTCCAGCAGTGTTTTTGATAGTGAATGTTGGTGTAGTAAGTAACAGTTTGATTATAGTTTCTTATGGTTGTTTTTTATGCTTCTGACTTTTAATCGTGTTGTTTTTTGGTTTTGTTCTTCCCCTTTGTGTTGTCATGACCCTCAAATGGTATTAACTTGCTGTCTGGTAAGTAACTTTTATCTTGACAGACGGGGAGGGAGGATGTGAATTTGTTGTTCAGTTTATTCATGAAATGATGGAATAGTTTTAGAAACTTCACTTCAATAATATTTTTGTCTAAATTGAACTCGGTCATTTTTTTCTTGGCTCATTTAGCCTGAGGCTGTCCATATGGGCTTAAGCTTAATGGGTTGGCTTGTTTACTAGTTATACACTTGAAAAAAATGGTATTCTTACTTTATACATTTAATACATTGATCATATAATTGTTAATCAATATTGATTAGTAGTTATAAATTGAATATTAGGTTTGATGTTGGTATATTGATGTCTGAATCTTGAATTGTAAATTATTTCACAGGAAGAAAAGCACAAACGTCCTATTTCTTATGGTGAATTATATAACAAAGTTCATAAAAAGAAAGATGGTGAATATGTGTCTAACAAAACAAAAAAATTCATTGTAAGTGTGTATATTTTATAAATATTAAATTTTGTTTATTTATAATATTGCTAAAATATTGATTTGATGTAGGAATCATATGAAAATGCTATGATTGAAAAATATGGGGAAGATATATCAAATCATCCTATAGTTGATTCTAATATTTGGATAAAGACTGCTGGTGAAAATAAAAAAGGTAGAATTTATGGTATAGGTCAGAGTTTGGATCTTGGTATTTTACATGTTTCATCTTCATCAGTTGAAGGTCTCTCTTCCCAAAATCTTACCACACCTCTCACTGAAGAAATCACTACCTTAGTTACACGAGATATCTAGTTTGCAAGAGCGAGATGAAAACACGATTGCGAGCACAAGCTCGATATGCAAGTATTGATGCAAGCACAAATGAAGACACAAGCAGAAATGCAAACACTCATACAACAACAAATGCAAGAAGATATGCAGTCTTTCAAGAAAGATTTATTATCTGCCTTAAAGAAATAATGATGAAAATGTATTTTAAACTTTGTTTCTATTTTTAATTGTGTTATACATAACTTTTTAGTTGAAATATTATTTTTGTTTTTAATTGTTTGAAACATCATTTTAACTACGTTTAAACAATACTTTTATATTGAAAGTTGATAAGTTTGTCTTCTTTTTTAAGAATATGAGTAATAATTTAAATCTTAAATATTTGATATTATAAATTTTGATAAAAATTGTGAGGGATCAGCTATGAAATAGCGAGAGAAACATTGCGAAAGGATTAGTTACTGGATTAGCGAAGAAATAATTGCGAGACATTAACCACATATTAGCTAGAGATAAATTGTCAAGGATTAGCTACAGATTAGCGAGAGAAAAATTGCGAGAGATTAGCTACGGATTAGCGAGAGAAAAATTGCAAGGGATTAACTACGAATTAGCGATAGTAAAATTGCGAGGGATTAGCTACGGATTAGCGAGAGAAAAATTGCGAGAGATTAGCTACGAATTAGCGAGAGTGAAATTACGAGGAATTAGCTACGGATTAGCGAGAGCGAAATTGTGAGAGATTAGCTACGGATTAGCGAGAGCGAAATTGCGAGAGATTAGTTACGGATTAGCTACAAGTTTTGGGAGATCAAATTAGTTAGGGATAAACAAAATTTCATCATTTAAATTAGTGAGGAATTTAGCGACAGTTTAGCGACAAAATTTGCTACAAATTTGAGAGAGAATACATCTGTGTCTAATTAGCTACTTGGATTTAGCTACGGACTATTCCATAGCTATTCCGTAGCTAATCTGTAGCAAAACATATCAGCGAGAGATTAGCTATAAAATAGCTACGGAATCTGTCATAGCTAATATGTAAAATTCTTGTAGTGTTTAAAGATAATAATAATAATAATAATTTATTTTCATGTATGAAAATAAAGAATATCAAATAAGTAATACACTAATATAAACTAAAAAAATAGAAAAATAATTAACATAAAAAATTTATTAAATGAAGAGAGTCATAAAATTATATAGTTTGAATCAAAATTTGACATAAAACAATAATACATACCCTAGGAGGAAAACCTGATAGGTTAAAGATGAAGTTTTCACACTTTTTTACATAATTCATAGAAAATAAAAGCAATAAAACAATATATAATAAGAAATCAATTTTCACGAGTTAAAAATATATAGAATAAAAACTTGAGATGAAAGAATAATAAATGTAAAAAACACAACCTGCTTTGAAATATAACTCTCTAATAGTATGTGTGTTTTCTTATTTACATTTTAATAATTAGAGTTAATAAATTAATTATAACAAATACTTTTAACTTAACTATTTTAATTGTCAATTAATTATTACAAATCCAACTTAAATATATTAACGGGTCTAGATATTTTTATAAACTAATTTAAAAATATATAATTAAAAAAATCAGAGTAAAAATTCAATATATTGTTATCATACTACTCGTATTTATTTGAATAGCATAATGCTCCTTGAATTAAAAAATAAATAAATAAAAGGTCAGCAAAATATTCACACCTTATTGTCATACAATAACTAGATTCATGACATGAATTTATTTCATTTTAAAGAAATAATTCCCTTTACTATACTGATTTTTTTTTAAATAAGATTGGAAAAAGGAACAATTTATTCCTCACACTCTGTATATTATTTTATTCAAAAACTAATATTTTAATGATCATTAAATCAGTCATAACAACAATTCAACCGTGATCAAACTAATATTAATAAAATTATTATAAAAGTTAAAAAAATATAAAATAATTTTAAAATATAATATCATAATTCTAAAAAATTAAAATAAAGCATAAATTTATAAGTTATTAACATTTAAAAATATGTATAAAAACAAAAATAAAATATACTGTCATACTTAAATTAAAATTTAAATATTATTCATAAATATTTATTAAAAAACTTGTTTTCATATAAAATAAAAAGACGATGCATATTTTAGATTAAATTTTTATTTTTGAGAAAAAAGTTGAAATAATAGTATATTTTTAAATAATTTTAATAAAACTGATTTAGACCCATTCTTCTCCATGTCAGTTTTATGGTTTATTTAAACTGTATACTTGACTAATTAATCTGTCTAAACCTAAAACAGATCTAAAAACATTGACAAATGTTTATTTAATGTTTAATAGGTTTTGTTTGTAGACTTTTAGCCCTCTTGAACGCAATATATATATTACAGTTATTTTTTTCTCCTATGTAAGTCAATTAAAAAATATTCAGATAAGTAACTTTCCGAATAATACATAGTAAATATTGTCAAAATAAATTGTTAACCAAATTTGGGAGAAAGAGAGAGATTTATACAAATAATAGATAATATATATAATCAAATAAAAACAATGAGAAAGAAAAAGAATAAAATACAGTAAATAATTACACATAATTTTTTTTTAATAGTATGTAATTCCACAGTTTCGTAGAAATAGAATAAAGAGATAAAAATTGTTGATAAGAAAATAATATTAAAATTATAAAATTAACTATATTTTAGTTTTTCCAATATTGATATCTCTGAAATATAGTTCTATGAAGATGAGAATAAAGTTGAGTTTTGATTTTTCATATTTACTTCTTTTAATCATGTTTGGCTTACTCCTTCTTATCCCTACCTATTTAATTGTCACTACGTTTTCTAAATTGACGTCAGAGTGCATTGTCTAGTTTGATTTCTGATTTGTTAATGCTTCCACGGCTTGGTTTATTCTGTTAGTCTTTCTTTCTATTTTCTTTAAGATAAAGCCCGTTTAATTAAAAACATGTAGTAGAAATAGTAGGATAAGATTATGTTAATATATATATATATTGATTATGTTTTTAGTATGAAATATCACTGATTTTATCACTTATTAATTTCTGTTAAATAAGCTGACCAGTTGAATTAATCCAAGCATTCTATCCTCTTGATTAGTGAGTGTCATATTTTTAAACAATTTTCTCTTGATAGAGAAATTAGCAACAGTTCTTCCATCAGTGCCATCTTGCAAGATTCTGGCAACTTTGTGTTTCGTGAATTGAACCAAGATGGATCTTTGAAGAGGATAATATGGCAAAGCTTTGATCACCTCTCAGACCTTCTTATTCTGGGGAAGAAACTAGGGTTTGACAGAAAAACAGGCCATAATTGGTCTATAACATCATTGAGAAGTGAAAAGTCTTCTTTGTCAGGGTCTTTCACCCTTGCCCTTACCCCAACATGAAGCAATTGGTGATGCGGTGGAGAGGGAACGTTGTTTGGAGTAGTGGCCAAATGGAGCAATGGAAGCTTTGCCAATTTAATGTCCCCACTTTACAAGAAGGACTTTGTATTTGAGTACCACTCAGATGAAAAATGAAACGTACGTGAGATATATTGCAATTTAGAACCTTCAGGTACAATATATGTCGGCGTTTCTGGTGATTCTTACTCATGTATCACTGACTACTTTCTATCTGGTTGTTCAAAGCCAAGTGTTCCCTCCCAAATGTAGACATTACAATAGTTTGTACTGGGTGGCTGGAATAGCTATGGAGCGATGAGAAGGAAGGGTTTCAAATTTGATGAGAGTGAGAAGCCGACCAATTTTGATTGGTGGATGAAGTGCTTGAATAATTGCACGTGGGAGGCCTAGTCTTATGTTAACGAGGATGAAACTGGGTGTGAGATATGGAGCAGGGACTCAGCAAACTTTGCGGCCACTGATAATTTGACAGCTGGGGGGCGTCATGTATAGCTTCCTCGGCCGGGAAAAAGAGGTAACTTATTCAAGAGAATACTTCCAGTGGCTTTTTTTATCAAAGAAAAAAAAAAAAAAACTTCCAGCTGGGGAAATTACACGTATTTATTTTTTAATTATTCAAATAATATATTGTAAGTTTTATTTTATTTACCAATATAGCACGATTTTTTTCAAGTCGAGAATTCCATTTTTTGAAAGATGAAATTTGAACGTAAATTTGTATTTTTTTTATTTAAACCAATTAAAATTCAATTTTTTGGCAATCGAATTTTGAACTAGTTTTTTTTTTATTTTGTTAAAAAAGAAAAACTAACTATATATATATATATATATATATATATATAAAGTTATAATGTTTTATTTAAAATTTATAGAATCAAATTAAAATTTTAAAAAGATTTATATATTTTTTAAATTAATAATATATTTAGATTTATTGTTGAAAGTAGTAAAATAATACTTTTAAAATATATTATTAAATATTATATTTATATTTTATTTGTATGGTTAATTTTTTAAAAATTTTTTATTTATTTGATATTATAATATTTTTTTTAGAAATGAATAATAAACTTGGAGGATAATAAAAATCTTAAAAATTATATATATATATATATATATATATATATATATATATATATAAAAGATAAAATAATATTTTGATGTAAAATTATATTTTTGAAATGTAATTTTTTTTGTGTGTTTTGTAATATTTTGAAAGTATGTTTTATATTATAAAAATGAAAATAAGTTAAATTTTGGAATATATATATATATATTAAATTTATATAAGATATATAATTTATTTAATATTAAAATAGTTATTTTTTTATTAATTTTATAATTATAAAATTGTTTAAGGTTATAATTTTAAATTTAATATTTTTGTAACTTTATATTTATAATTTATATAATATATATAATTTATAAATAATGATCTTTTTAATTTTAATTTAATATATATTTTTATTTATAATTATTTAATGTATATTTAAAAAAGTAACTGATTATTTAAAAACTAATCAATTATAATCAATTATTTAAAAAATAATCGTTCTCATCGAGTAATTGAAAAATTAATCGATTAATTTTTGAAATAATTAATTAGTTTTTGAAATAGTAAAAAAATAAAAACATATATATATAATATTATAATATTCTATTTAAAATTTAAAGTTTTAAATTATAATGTTAAAAGGATTTATATATTTATTAGATTAATAATTAATTTAGATTTATTGTTGAAAATAGTAAAATAATATTTTTAAAATATATTATTAAATATTATATTTATGTTTTATTTGCATGATTAAATTTTTTTAATTCTTTGATTTATTTGATATTGTAATATATTTTAGAAATTAATAATAAATTAGGAGGATAAAAAAATCTTCAAAATTATATCTATATAAGATGAAATAATATTTTGATATAAAATTATGTTTTTGAAATGTATATTTTTTTGTTTTGTAATATTTTAGAATATATATATATATATATATATATATAATTATAATTTATATAATATATAATTGATTTAACATTAAAAATATATATTTTTATTAATTTTATAATTATAATTTTTTTAAGGTTATAATTTTAAATATAATTTTTTAAATTTTATAATTAAAATATATATATAATATATATAATTTATAAATATTTATTTATTTAATTTGATATATATTTTATTTGTAATTATTTAATGGATATTTGAAAAACAAATCAATTATAATCAATTATTTGAAAAGTTAATTGATTATAATCGATTATTTTAAAAAATAATAGGTAAGAAATGATTGTAATTGAGTAATTGAAAAACTAATCGATTTAGTTTTTCAAATATACATTAAATAATATATATATATATATAATATTTTATTTAAAATTTATAATTTTAATTTATAGTTTTTAAAGATTTATATATTTATTAGATTAATAATATATTTAGATTTATTGTTGAAAGTATTAAAATAATATTTTTCAAAGATATTATTAAATATCATATTTATATTTTATTTGTATGATTACTTTTTAAAATATTTGTTTATTATTTGATATTGTAATTTTTTTTAGAAATTAATAATAAATTAGGAGGATAATAAAAATAATTATTATTTTTAAATTTTAATTTGATATATTTTTTATTTATAATTATTTAATATATATTTGAAAAACTAATTGATTATTTAAAAATTAATCAATTATTTAAAAAAATAACTGGTTTTCATCAAGTATCAAAAAACTAATTGATTACTTTTGAAATAATCGATTAGTTTTTTGAATAGTTAAAAAAACTAATCGATTACTTTTGGACTCGAGATTTTAGATAGCGGTTCTAGGACTAACCACTATTAAAAATATATTTTAGATATCGGTTAACGTGGAACCACTATTATATATTCACTTTTAAAAGCGGTTAAAATATTAACCGCTCTTAAAAGTGACACATATATGATAATAGTTCCACTTTAACCACTCTTAAAAATCGATTATTTGAAAAAGTAATCGATTATAACCAATTATTTGAAAATATAATCGATTATTTTAAAAAATAATAGGTAAGAAATGATTGTAATTGAGTAATTGAAAAACTTATTGATTAGTTTTTGAAATAATCGATTAGTTTTTCAAATATACATTAAATAATATATATATATATATATATATATATATAATATTTTATTTAAAATTTATAATTTTAATTTATAGTTTTTAAAGATTTATATATTTATTAGATTAATAATATATTTAAATTTATTGTTGAAAGTATTAAAATAATATATTTAAAAGATATTATTAAATATCATATTTATATTTTATTTGTATGATTACTTTTTAAATTTTTTTTATTATTTGATATTGTAATATTTTTTTAGAAATTAATAATAATTTAGGAGGATAATAAAAATAATTATTATTTTTAAATTTTAATTAGATATATTTTTTTATTTATAACTATTTAATATATATTTGAAAAAATAATTGATTATTTAAAAATTAATCAATTATTTTAAAAAATAACTTGGTTCTCATCAAGTATGAAAAAACTAATCGATTACTTTTTGAAATAATAGATTAGTTTTTTCAAATAGTTAAAAATATTTTTTGAATAGTTAAAAAAAACTAATCGATTACTTTTTGACTAGAGATTTTAGATAGTGGTTCTAGAACTAACCGCTATTAAAAATGTATTTTAGATATCGATTAACGTGGAACCGCTATTATATATTCACTATTAAGAGCGATTATAATATTAACCGCTCTTAAAAGTGACACATAATAGCGGTTCCACTTTAACCGCTCTTAAAAATCGATTATTTGAAAAAGTAAACGATTATAACCAATTATTTGAAAATATAACCGATTATTTGAAAAAGTAATCGATTATAACCAATTATTTGAAAATATAATCGATTATTTTAAAAAATAATAGGTAAGAAATAATTGTAATTGAGTAATTGAAAAACTAATAATCGATTAGTTTTTCAAATATACATTAAATAATATATATATATATATATATATATATATATAATATTGTATTAAAAATTTATAATTTTAATTTATAGGTTTTAAAGATTTATATATTTATTAGATTAATAATATATTTAAATTTATTATTGAGAGTATTAAAATAATATTTTTAAAAGATATTATTAAATATCATATTTATATTTTATTTGTATGATTACTTTTTCAAATTTTTTTATTATTTGATATTGTAATTTTTTTTAAAATTAATAATAATTTAGGAGGATAATAAAAATAATTATTATTTTTAAATTTTAATTTGATATATTTTTTTATTTATAATTATTTAATATATATTTGAAAAACTAATTGATTATTTAAAAATTAATCAATAATTTTAAAAAATAACTGGTTCTCATCAACTATGAAAAAACTACTCGATTACTTTTTGAAATAATTGATTAGTTTTTTGAATAGTTGAAAATATATTTTGAATAGTTAAAACAAACTAATCGATTACTTTTTGACTTGAGATTTTAGATAGCGGTTCTAGAACTAACCACTATTAAAAATATATTTTAAATATCGCTTAACGTGGAACCACTATTATATATTCACTTTTAAGAGCGGTTAAAATATTAACAGCTCTTAAAAGTGACACATATATGATAGCGGTTCCACTTTAACGCTTCTTAAAAATCGATTATTTGAAAAAGTAATCGATTATAACCAATTATTTGAAAATATAACCGATTATTTGAAAAAGTAATCGATTATAACCAATTATTTGAAAATATAATCGATTATTTTAAAAAATAATAGGTAAGAAATGATTGTAATTGAGTAATTGAAAAACTAATCGATTAGTTTTTCAAATATACATTAAATAATATATATATATATATATATATATATATATATATAATATTTTATTAAAAATTTATAATTTTAATTTATAGTTTTTAAAGATTTATATATTTCTTAGATTAATAATATATTTAAATTTATTGTTGAAAGTATTAAAATAATATTTTTAAAAGATATTATTAAATATCATATATTATATTTTATTTTTATAATTACTTTTTAAAATTTTTTTTATTATTTGATATTGTAATATTTTTTTAGAAATTAATAATAAACTAGGAGGATAATAAAAATAATTATTAATTTTAAATTTTCATTTGATATATTTTTTTATTTATAATTATTTAATACATATTTGAAAAAGTAATTGATTATTTAAAAATTAATCAATTATTTAAAAAAATAACTGGTTCTCACCAAGTTTGAAAAAACTAATCGATTACTTTTTGAAATAATCGATTAGTTTTTTGAATAGTTAAAAATATTTTTTCAATAGTTAAAAAAAACTAATCGATTACTTTTTTACTCGAGATTTTAGATAGCGGTTAACGTGAAATCGCTATTATATATTCACTTTTAAGAACCGTTAAAATATTTACCGCTCTTAAAAGTGACACATATATGATAACGGTTCCACTTTAACAGCTCTTAAA